GTCCACCTCAGCCTCCCAGAGTGCTAGGATTAGAGGCGTGAGCCACCACGCCCCACCTGCTTTTGTTTTCTTGTTACAAAATCATTGCAGATAAATGCAGAGGAGATAGGAGATGCATGTTGGAGTGTGTTTTTTACTCTTTAGGTAGAAATTTATTTTTTCAGGAGTAATTATGTGATGTATGTTTATTCCTGTGCCACTTGGCAGAGTGTCAGAAACAATAATGTGGGTACAACTTGAAAAGATCTCCAGGTGTGAATCACTATGGTTAAAACATTAAGTCAAAAAGGGGCTCTACTGAAAGAACTACTCCTTAATAATATATGAATATTTTAACTCAGAGCTTTTATACTATGCAGTGTTTGTTTTATAGGTCCATAATCTAGTCATCATGAGTGAAATCCCGTCTGTGATTTTCATTTTGTAAAACTATTTCTCTATGATCTCCAACTATGAGTTTCTACTTTTATTTATAAGAAAACAGAAGCTGTCGAAGAGGTTTCGAGCCCTGCTACAATCGTCGCTGCATTCCTCACGGCAAGTTATGTGATGGTGAAAATGACTGTGGAGACAACTCTGATGAGTTAGACTGTAAAGGTAAATACTTGCTGCAGCAGCCTGAGCGTATTGCTACACTAATTTCTCCTGAACTTTTCCAGAGTTTGTTTCTGAGAGCACTGCAGCATATAATACCGAGTAACATCTGTGGACTATACTTTGGTAAATGCTGCTGGAGTTGAATTACTAAAGTCAATTGAAAGTTATGACTATATTCTCTATTTCTGGTTTCTACTCCTTTGCTCACTTTGAAACTCTTGTAATTTCTCACCTCTCCAGTTCCATCCTCCCTGTTTTTTGGATATTTCTATCAGAATGTGTAATATTGAATATACTGCTCCAAAAACATTCCCTTTCATTCCTTAATTCTCTGTTTTACCCATGATTTCATTTTCCTAACCACGGGACAGGAAACCTTGATGTTCTCCTTGATTCCCTCCTTCCCGTATTCCCAACAAATCTTCCAATTCTTTTTAATATCTTTAGTGGCAACCCACTTTAAGCCTGGATTTACAGAGTATCCATTTACCTGGTTTCCATCCCTTTATTTTTCCATCTGTATATTGTTAGTCATGCTGAAAACTGTTAAACATTTTCCCACAGTGACTACTGGGGCAGACTATCAAGCCAGACTGCCTGGATTAGAACCTCCATCCCAACACTTAGTGTCTAATTTAGATAAAGCACTTAACTAGAATCTGTGTCTCTGTTTCCCAAACT